CTCTCTCTCTCTCTCTCTCTCTCTCTCTCTCTCTCTCTCTCTCTTCCTCTCTCTTCCTCCCTCCTTCCCACGCCTCTCTCCTCTTCCCCTCCCGTTTATTTCCTTTTAATTTAATTGTCATTTTACAATATATTGTTTACTTTTAAGACATTTTTTAATTTAATTTACACTAGATATTTCTCGGTCTTCTACTAAGAGGTTTCATTTTAAATGAATAAAAAAACGAATAAGATAGTTTTTGAAAATGTTGAGATACAAAGTACAGATTGTGGAACACAATATCAGCCAAATGGCCACCTCGACTTTTCTCACAAATATAGTTATTCCTTCGAGGAAATTTTTCATCACGTTTTTGCACTATTACGATCCACAGTTTGAATATTGTCTTTGAGCGCCTGTATCATTTGCGGAGCATTTGTGTAAATCTTATCCTTTACATAACCAAAGGAAAAAATCCAATAGTGTCGAATCGCACGATCTAGACGGCCAATTGAAGTCTCCGTTACGCGAAATTTTCACCGTGAAGTGAGTTTTTACTATTTCTATACGTTCTAAGCAAATATCGATCCATTGTTATGAACCGCATAATTTTTACTCGACAATTGTCAAATATGACAACTCCATCTATAACAGAGGTACAAAATTTAAAATAAAACCTTTTAATGGAAGACCTTGTATCATTGTCTTATGTCATAATAATGTAATTTCCTATATGCGCCTGGGGCGATATTGTCCCAAAGCGCTCTCAATAAATAAATGCTTTCTCTCTCTCTCTCTCCCCCCTCCCTTCCTCCCTCCCTCTTCCTTCCCCTCTCTAACAAGCTCCGTCTTTGAGTTCAGCCTAGTTCAATCAAAGTCGTTGGTATCAACTGCACCATTTGATTTTAAATGAATCGGCTGTTAATGCTAATCAGATCAGAAATTGTTGCAGCGCCGCAAGGAACGCGGACGGATCGCCGTGGAGAGCGTCCACGTAGTGGAGACGGCCAGTCTCGGAAATGGTGGAGGTGCTGTCAGCGACGTAGCGGGTGGCGGCGACACCGCTGGCGGTGGTGGCGGAATACCATCCGGTCTGCCTTTTCAAGTGGGATATCGGGAAGCTGGTCAAGAGTACACCCTCTATCTCCTCGCCGCTCGCGAACAGGATCGTGCCGAATGGATACGTGCTATACGCGCTGGTAAGTCTACCTCTTCCTCCACATCTTTCTTTCCCTCATAACTAGCGTGATAAATCTTTCCAAATAAAAAAATTTTTTGTATATTTAAATACAAAAAATATATATGTTCGTAGATGACGGTTTTCAATAATAACACTGCCCAACGAATTTAAATTTTTTTCTAGATCACAAAATGATTCTTAGGGTGGGTTTAGACCTGAAAAATAGAAAGCAGAATAGCGGCAGCCTGTCAGAACATTCGCGTTGATAGTCGCTGGTTTCGGCTTTCTGCAGCTTTCTGTACTACTTACTATCAATGCAAGTTTTGATTGACTGTTGCTTTCTGTTTTTCTGTCAAGATTTGAACCCACCCTTATAGATTTTTGGTCGTCAAATTCGTAAATAAAATTGCTCTATCATCACGGTTTTTTTTTTTTTTTTTTTTTTTCCATATTTTAGCTCATATGTATCAAAAACTGCTATTTTTGTCATCTTTAGGTTCAATTTTTTCGAAAATCTGACGTAATAGAGCAATTTTATGTATGGATTATTTTCAGTGGCAAAAAATCTATAAGAATCACTTGGTTCCGATCCTGATT